CAATTAATATTTTAAGATAATATTGTTATTGTATAACAACTTTTGTTAGATATTTAATAAAATAAATTTCAATTTTTTAAATTTATAAACAAACTTCAAACTTTTCTAGAAAAACTAAAATTTATTGTTGTGTATTGAATATTTTTTATTAATAAAAATTTAAGATTTGTTTTAGTTTTTCACATTATTTAGTTTAGTTTTATTTATTATTTTATATTTTTTGTGTGCTCTATTTATTGTGAGAGGGGAGGGGGCCTGGTAAGAAGAAAATGTCTAGGGCCCCAAAGTGGGTTAATCCGGTCTTGATTGGACTCACGCAGATCTTGAGCAACTCCAAACGAAAACAAGAACAACACTTACTAAGTATAAACGTCATCCTAAATCTGCCATAGAAAGATTAACTTTTCCATGTAAAGATGGTGGATGTGGCCTAATCGACATAGTTAACCTTCACTACAAACAAATACAGACATTGAGAGTTTTTCTACAAAAAACAAGAAACATCACAGTTACATAAAGCAGTAACTCTAGCAGACTCAAATAATACACCATTAAATTTACATTCACAATGTATGACCATGACGCAACATATAAATAGCATAGACACCATTAAGCAATTGTGGGCTCAAAAGGCATTCCATGGCAGGCATTCTTATGACCTGGCCCAGGATTCTGTTGACAAAACTGCATCAAACAGCTGGTTAGATCAGGGATGCCTTTTTGGGGAGACAGAAGGATTCATGATTGTCATACAGGATCAGGTCATAAATACTAAAAACTACAGAAAACACATACTCAAAGATACAACAATCACAAATGACACATGCAGAAAACGTTACATCATGCCAGAAACTATACAACACATCACTTCTGGTTGCAAGCTCTTGGCACAGACAGATAATTTACATAGACATAATCAAGTAGCAAATACATCAAAAGCTTACAAAGAAACACAAATTATTAGACGTTGACGAACCATATTACAAATACATTCAACAGACAGTATTGGAAAACAACATGCACAAAATGTACTACACAGCCATTGGTATCAACCAAGTGTAACTCACAAAAATCAACATAATAATAATAGTAGGTTTATGGCATTAAGAAATTCTATTAATAGCATCACATCATATGTTTTTGAGAATAACATTTTGGTGTGCCGTGTTGAGTTATGTCAAGTCATAGGTATGCCGCGAGTAGAAAAAGGTTGTGAAACACTGAGTTAGATGATATCTTTTAATTTATATGAATGTTTTAGGAACACATACAGGACAAAAGATATTCATTACTTTAAGTGACAACAAATAGGCAAATGTTCAGCACAAGTTCGAACATATGCAATGTGTATCTCGCCGACCACGCGACTGTGCCGCACGATTACCTATCTCGTATACATACATGTCTTGCCCCTCACCACCCGCTGACACCAAAAATATAACGCTTATCTAGATGATATTTTTTAATTTATATGAATGTTTAATGGAATAATATACAGTCTATGTCCACCCTGAAGGTCCATTCTAAATATTGGTGAAAGAATTTTTGAAATCAGATGAGTAGTTTCGGAGATTACCTCCTACATCCAAACTTACAAACTTTACCTCTTTATAATATTAGTATAGATAATTTAAATAAATAATTAAATAAATTTAGAAAGAATGAAAGAACTGACCCGGAGCAGGGCTTGAACCCGCAACCTCTGCTTGCCGTGCAGTGCGCTTGCCAGTTGCGCCACCTGGACCCTGAGCGAGTCTTCCTCGGGTGCAAGAATTAATATACTTCTAGAAGCAAAGATTCTTTCGGGGTCCGGGTGGCGCAACTGGCAAGTGTAGGTTGCAGTTTTAAGCCCTGCCTTAGGTCAGTTCTTTTATTTCAGAAGGTTTTAAATTTATTTAATTATTTATTTAAATTATAATTATTAATTTAGTTAAGAGATGGTGCCTAACATCTACCTCTAGTGACAAATTACTTTATATCAATTATTTAATCAGCCAGATTATAGCTCGAAATTTAAGGCGATCGTTGGTTATTTCTGTATATGCATCGGACTTTGAGTTGTTTATCATTTTCTTTCATTAAATAACTTTCTGGTTTAAATTAAGTTGGTTACTTTTTACTTATATTTCAGTTTTCAGTAGATATTTTATATCAAAATATACATATATGAACTAAATAAGAACATTTAAAGATTTTTAAAGAGAAATCTTTAATTTTTGTTAATTTATTAAAATTTTAAAGAAAACTTGATATCATATCATATATATAAGTTTTCTTATTTTTGAAAAAGTAAAGCTTTGTTTCTTAATGCTGGAGAAAAATTTATTGAATTCAAATTATAAAAATAGAATATATTTTTTACATATTAATGAATAAATCTATATAGAATATACTAATCTTATAAAGTTTTTAATTTTTATATGTGTAATAATTATTTCTTATGATTACTTGTATTTTAAAACTGAATGTTTCAAAATTGCATAAACTAAAATCACATACATTACTAATATACATGTGTAAATATAATTTGTCCAAATATCAAAATCTTAGAAATATCAATAAGATTTATGCCGTTTATAGCCTATTCTTACAGCAATAGATTTAAACTACTTTTTTTAGAAAAGAGTACTATATCAAAACACTTTTTATAAATGTGTAATGTAATAATACAGTAGAGCATCGATTATCTGACCTCTGATCAACCGTTACATCGGTTAACCGACCGTTCTAGTCTGCAAATTTGAAATGTCTGCTAGTGATGTGGTGCTACAATATTTGGCTATGTTTTGGCTACTTTAATATTATTTTTGTTAAATTTTTGCATGTTTTAGCTGGCAACACTGGCTCAATCATGAAAGGGAGGCCAGTACAGTATTTAAACAAGGCTTAATTTTCTAATTATGAGTAGTTGTTTGTTTTGTGAGCAATAAAATAAGTTAAAAATAATTTTTAACGATACAATAGCGACAATTATTAGACTATTAAAAAAAATTCGTTGGGCTTAACATCGATGAAAATTCAACGCAAAGTAGGTTAATAGCGATATACTAATTACATGGGATATACTAATACTGTATACTATACTAATGTATTTTTTCATACTTTTCGGTTATCCGTTTTTTCAGTTATCCGACTAACCCGAGTCCCCAATTGAGTCGGATAATCGATGCTCTACTGTAAATGAATTTCAAAATATATGTTATTGAATTATAGTTTTTAAAAATAGTTATATAATATGAAGTTACAAATATTTATTAAATAAATATAAAATACTCGTTATTTGTTCATATAATGTAGTGAAATAAATAAATCTGTGTTAGTAGGGTAGACTATAATTTATAATATATGATGATTCCTTGTTTAAATTGTTTAAACATACAAAATTGCTTTGATATTTTACAATTCAAAATTTATTCACAGCACAAACAGTTTTAGAATTTTATATTTTATGTTTACCAGATAGCTTTTACATTTGAGTGCTGTAGATAATAATTTGAACTTAGTTTAGTTTGATAATAAAGTTCACTTTTAATGTTATGAAAAATTAAATAAAAATCCATCATTGAGGACAATAATTTTGTTAAAACTGAAGACTTTTAACTTAAAAATTTGGTATAATATATATTAAAATAAGATAAAAGGCATTTTAAAATAAGGTGACCATAAATACTGTTTTTGTTAAAATGTTAACAAAAGCAATATTTTAAGTTTTTTTCACTATATTAAAAAAAAAATAAATTGCAAGTACGGTTGACCCCCCCATAACACTGTTGATAATTCTGTTTTTTATGAATTTCATGTTGTACGAGTCACTTAGATTTTACAAATACATGTTTTGGGCTGTGAACGGCTCATGTATTTGTAAAATCTGAGTGACTTGTACAACATGAATTTTATATAAAATGGAATTATCAACAGTGTTATAGGGGGGTTGACTGTATTTAAAGTAAAAGGCTACTTTCTGAACCATTTTTTTTTTTTTTATAACTCCAAAACTTTAATAACATAAGTCTTTAAATTTTTTTTACAATTGTTATTTTTTTTTTCTTTCTTTTATATTCTATATGATAGATACTTTTTTTTGCTATTGACAAAATGTTTGAATTTTGTCTTATCTGTCATTTCTATTTGATTTGGAATGAATATGGTCAGTATATTGATTAAACTGGTCACTACTAGTGATGAAAATGTCAACATGCAGTTGAAACTTTACAGTGAAATTATAAATGTTTTGTTTCAAATAAGAAGACAGATGTAGACAAACTCATAACATTGATTGTCCAATAGTTTAATTATGGATTTATTTGTTACATTTTGAAATAATTATATTTTTAAATTTGTAACATCTAAAAGTTTAAAAAATAACAATTTTAAAGTGCTAAGATTTGATTACTCAATTTGTGTTTAAGAATAAGACTTACTTGTGCTGTGAAACATTATTGAATTTTGTATTTTGCAGTCAGAAACATATTTCTAAGCAATATCAATTTTCAACTTTGTAAAAACATAAAATCAGACATGAACTAAAGTCTTTGAATCTTAAGTTTTGAGTTAGAGAAATTAAATCTCAAAACAACTTGTGACTTATCAAACACACAATACACTGACTGTACAGGAATTGAGTTGGGACAAAAATAGAATTTGAGTTAGAATTTCAAGTTAGGGAAGTTTGAGTTATCAAGAGCCTACTGTAGTATGTTTATTAAAAGAAAACTATTTATATGATTGATAAAAAATATTCTGTTTTAATTTCTTTAAAAAAAAAGATTACTTTAGTGGAAAATGTGAATAAGTTGCAATTATAGAATTTCATGTTTTCTAAGCTAATATATAAAATATTTTTCAGTCATTTTATTTTTTTAAATCATACTTTCCCATTTCTGTGTTGATATTTTTTAAAGATTTATTAAAGAATAAGAAATTTAAATTTTATTTTAAGATTAGATTGTATTGTTTTAGAATGCCTTTTTAAAGAATAAATAAATCAAATATTTTTTTAGATTAAAATGTATTCAACAGAAGAGAGTCCATACTACTTACATTAAACAGTGTGTTGCAGAAGATGCTAAAGCTGAAGAAATTACAACACAAAAATCTGCATCCAATACTAAATGTAAAAGTACATCAAATGTATCAAAAAATAAAACCAAATCAAACAGAAGTAAAAAAGCAAAAGATACTGAAATAGAAGAGAATGATATTGGTGGTAATGAAAGTGGAAATGACACTGATGATACTCAAGATATTGGTCATATATCTGATGGAGAAGTATGCATTGCTTTTTTGATTAAAATAATTATTAATTTTGAATATTTAAATATATTTTTATTAAGAAATAAAAATTTTATAGAATAATTATATATTTTAGTTTTATATATACTTTAAATTTTTTTCCAAAGTATGAGTTTAACCTATAACAGAATGTTTTAAGTGTTATTTTTTTATTTTAGAAAAAAAATTTGTAATTGTGTTTTGACAATTAATTTTGAAATTATATAATTATTACTTAAATTCATAATTTGAAGAATTAATTTTTATGGTTTAAACCAGAGTCTCCACTTTTTTTCTGAGAAGGCCATGTGAGTTGTAAACAATAACTCTGGGACCAGGTATGAAAGATATAAAAGATATAAGACTTTTAAGACTTCAAAGATTAAGACTTTTTATTTCTGAGTAACAATGGATCTAAATTATTGTGAAATTTGTAACTGATTTTTTGAAAGAATTTCATTAAAATTAGAATAAATTTTCTGGCACCCAATATTAAAATCTCCTTTAAGTAATTTGAATTCATATATTTCAATTTTGAAAGATTTACTCACAATGGTATGTAGAAGAAAAATATAAAATATTTCTCATGCATTACTTAAAATTTTCTTCTGACAAGATAAGGTTTATTAAGTTTCTGCTTTGAACTAGTTGAAATTTGATCATAAAACATGTCAATGAGAAGAAGCTATGCATGCTGGATAAGTATGCTTTGGGACTGTATTTGGCTTGCAGGCTATATGTTGGTGACCCATGATAAACCAGTAAATGAAGATTTTTGAATAATGTCTTAAAATGTCTGATTTACAAATTCAGTAATGAAGTTGATATGATGCCTATAAACAATATGAGTCTCATGAAACATTACTATTAACTTCAGTAAATCTATAATTAGTTAATAACTTAATTAGAGCATTTACTCATATCTTATTTTTTGTACAGGGCTATAAACAAAAGTATACTATTTTAGACCAATAATGAGGAGAACTAGGTTAACCCAATTATCTTCAAGCATTTAAATAATTGTATATATAGAAATAAATTCAATAATAATTGATTAGATAACATAAAAAGTTACAAGATTTTATTTGTAATTTTCCTTGGTATATAAGAATATGATATAATACATTTTGAAAGCTTTTGCAAAAACAGTATTAAGATGAAGTTATATTTAGAGTAAAAAAATTTTTAAATATGAATGTAACAAAGCAAATGTACTGTAGGTTTGATTTTATTACATAGACAAATAGATGAAAATAGCATATATTCAAACTTGGAACATGAAGAAAACAACTAAATTGGTGTATTGCTGAATTCAAATGGAGAAGATTATTTTAAGCAAGTTTTATGAACTAAAAACAATTTGCAAAATTTAAAATAATGGGATCAGTAAAAATTTTATAAAAAAATTTGATAAAAGTTGGCCATCTTATTAAACCAGTAGTTATAGAAGTAATATGTGTTGAATTTATNAGATTTTATTTGTAATTTTCCTTGGTATATAAGAATATGATATAATACATTTTGAAAGCTTTTGCAAAAACAGTATTAAGATGAAGTTATATTTAGAGTAAAAAAATTTTTAAATATGAATGTAACAAAGCAAATGTACTGTAGGTTTGATTTTATTACATAGACAAATAGATGAAAATAGCATATATTCAAACTTGGAACATGAAGAAAACAACTAAATTGGTGTATTGCTGAATTCAAATGGAGAAGATTATTTTAAGCAAGTTTTATGAACTAAAAACAATTTGCAAAATTTAAAATAATGGGATCAGTAAAAATTTTATAAAAAAAATTTGATAAAAGTTGGCCATCTTATTAAACCAGTAGTTATAGAAGTAATATGTGTTGAATTTATTTTTTTTAATGTGAAACAAATATTAAAAATTAAAAGAATCTCTTTTGTTGCAGTAATAACAAATATAAATATTTGACTTACTTTATTTACTAAAAGATTAAAATTATTCGAATGAATGTTTGACTAATATAAGAAAAGTAGCTCATAAAATTTACAAATTTTAATTTCTATTTTTGGATTGCACACCATTTTGATTGCAATATAGTGTAATATGCATGACCTTTTATTTTTTTGTACATGTAAATTGAAAATTTAAATAAACATTTTATGATTTATGTTCAGAGGCATATCCTTAGTTTTGCAAGTGATAAAGTTAAAGAATACCCCTATAAGAAGATTAAATTGATAAATTATTTGTAAAAAAAACATTTTTAGTTTTTCAAGAAAGGAAAAATATTTTCAAATATTTTGTAAATTTTTTGCAATGATAAGCCATAATTATGCCTCTTTGCCTATTACATACCGTATTTTGACGATTATAAATTGCTGTCGAGTATAAGACGCACCCCTATTTTGAGACAGAAAATTTAGAAAAAACTTTTTTAATGGGAGATTGCATTTTATTCGTTTTTTTATTCAAGAATGTGACGGATGCATTTTATTTGTTTTTTTTTTATTAAAAAGATGCAGTTTATTCGTTTTTTTTTATTCAAGAATATGACGGATGGGTGAATTGATACCTTTATTATACTGAAATAATCGTCATTTCTTAATGTAAACTCTGAGGTCATGCGATGACAGTCGACAGAACATGGCGGCGATGACTCGTGTGTCGCTATTCTGTTAATCTAGGTATTCTAGCCATTCGGTTGAGGAACCATGTGCTTAACAGATCACTGCACGGGTTGGTCCTTAGAGTGAACCACTACTGTAGATAATTTCACTGTAAAAACGGTTACCTGTTGAGTATAAGACGCACCATGATTTTTAGCCCCAAAAAGTAGTAAAAAAAAGTGTGACTTATACTCGTCAAAATACGGTATATAATTTATAATTATTATTGTATTGTTAACAATAATTTTTTATAGTTAAATTTATTACCAATATTAATAATAAGATGTGTCCCATAAATATAGGTCCAGTTTGAAAAACAATAATAAAACATGAATTAAAGATTTCTTAATGCCCAATACAGCATCCTTAAACCAAAATTAAATTAAATACATGATTAGACATTGATTTCATTAAAATTTGCAAGTGTTTTTCTTCAGTTTTTTTCTATTTAGCTACTATTGCATTCTTCAGTTCCTATACTGTATAGTACTTCTTGCCTCCCATATACACAGCTCTTCCCATTTCCCACAGGTTCTCAATGGGATTGAGAACCTGTGGGAAATGGTAGCCAGTAAGGTAGCCAGTCCAAAATCAGCACTCCATTATTCAAAACCCATTCATAAGTGGACTTAGCATTGTGTATTGATGCATTGTCCTATTGGTAGATCCATCTTGGTCCTTCTATTTTCTCTGCAAATGGTAAGAGATGTTTCTCCAGCATCTTGATGGCCATTTACATTCATTCTGCCCTGTAGGAATGCCACATTAGACTTTCCATCCCATCTGAATGATGCCCATATCATCACAAAACTGCATTTTGTTGACATTTTGAATATATCTGTTCTTATCATATTAAACTGTGCCAACAATTCACCCAGACCATCCAAATTAAACTTTTTTCATCAATCCATATAATTCTCTTTTTTTCTTTCCAATACATCATTTCTTTGGCCCATTTTTAATCTCTTCTGCCTGTGTGTTTTTGTTAAGGCAGAGATGGCTTTTCTTTGACTAAAGAAATTGGTCTGAATTTTTTATAATTCCAGAAACTTGATTTGGATATTGCATTGTCAAGTCTTATAGAAATTTGATGTATTGATGATGAATTATTGCCAGTTTTTTTTAAGCATCTAATTTTATTTATGGGACTACTTTTGAAGGCTGTTCTTTGGAGCATTTTTATACTGTAAGCATCTCCTAGACATATAAAATTATTAATTAAGTAATGAGATCTTTTCAAGTTTTGTTGCAATTTGTCTGTTTTGATTTCTTCCAGGCCATAATTAGCCCTTTTCTATGTCTGTAAGTCCTTTTGGCACATCCTGCGATTCAAAAGTCACACAAACTATCAATTGATGTTAATTAATCAGTTTAAAATTATGCTGCCATTTTCAATTGGATATGTAGGTTTCTCTAATTGCAAAAATATATATATTAATTACATCAAATTTGATACTTTAAAAAATTTTGTACTGGACCTATATCTATGGTATGCACCTTAATAATAATAATAATCAAGTTCTAAGGTCTCCCATTTGTTTTTTCTGTCAAAATACTTTCACAAACAAACTTCTGACACTTCTCAACTTAATCTCTCTGCAGACATACACATTTTTCATAACATCGATGCCATGACATTATAGCCGCTACAAACACTTCTTTAGAGGTCTGTTTTGACACTAAAAAATTGCTGATGCTACAGCAGCATGACTGGAAAATGTGCGATCACAGAAAGTGTCCTTCATCATTGGAAAAAGCCAAAAATTGCTAGGAACAAGGTCAGGTGAGTAGTGAGCATGAGAAACCACTTCAAAGTTGTTTTCACAAAGAAACTCCTGTGTTAACATCACCCAATGAGCTATAGCATTGTCTTGATGGAAGAGTACACATGCAGCCTTTTCTGGCTGTTTTCTTGCAATACTGGAAGCAATTCATGGTGACAACTTGATTGTACACATGAAGCAACTTGCTCCAAGCATGCATGGATGTTTCGGTTTGTTGCCACACAATGTTCGTCCTTCTTTGAGCTGTTGTACCCACAAACACATTTTTCACATCCATGACACCATCACTGCATGTGTTACTCAACTGGCAATGAATTTTGGTGGGTGTCACTCCATACAAGTGCAGAAAACGAATGATTACTCATTGTTCTTGTAATGAAAATGTTGCCATTTTAAGTATCAAAAACACCTCTCACCTGAACTGCGTTTGCTAGAGTTCCATGCACCGTGCAATGCTACCCTCTCTGTTATCCGACCATAAACAGTGTCCACTTCTTCAAAAGAAAACTGCATGTTTCTACCTGTTTCTTTCCTCTAGAAAAAAATAGGAGACCTTACAACTTGAATGCATCTTG